TGTATTATTATGGTTTGTTCAAATCTGGGGACTAGAGACAAGTTCAACAGTGGTAAAGCAGTAGGGTTTAGAAGGGTTTTCACTGGAGAAATTAATCTTCTGTTTATATATGTTTGGAACATAAATGAGCTAATGCATTTAAAATGGTTTAAATTATTTAAGAAGGCTTGTGCATCGATGTTTTCCACAACTGCACTAATTTTTTGGGGAGCTTCCCACAACTCTCAGCCACAGAGAAGCATTGCAATGATGCACTGTGTAAAATCCTTAGAGAGAGGAAAAGCTACGCATTCCACAAGCACCTCTGCTGGCTCTTTCCTCGAGAAATGTATGTCAGGCAGAGCATCTCCTGCTTCATTCACATTTTATTTACTGTTTTCTAAAATATAGATTAGTAACAGTTCACAAGAGTTACAGGCAGAGAAATGCAACCAGATTTTTCAATGGGATAGCCTTACAGGCACTCTATGAAAGTGGTAAGAAATGAAAACCATCTTTTGATACTTTCCAAATAGTATTCATTCAAAAGCACAGCTCTTAGTGAATTTGGGACCAAATTCAAATCAACGAGAAAATCCTACAGTTAGGAGTAGGAGCAAGAAAATAAAAGGGAGAAGAATGGCAAGAGGAGGAAGAGAAAATGAATTATTCCATACAGCCCTCCCCTATAGCTCCTTTTTTTCTGAATTCATGGGGAAACTATCCCTGGTGTTATTCCCAAGTGAATCTGAAAGCATGATGTCCATATTTCTGCTTGATCCAACCCTTCTTGCATAGAATATCTACATGACTGCCTGTACTAATTCACATACGAGACTTTTACCGGGTGGTCAACATATTAGCACTGCATGTTTGTGTCCACCAGTGTGTGGATACAGGAGTCATTGCAGAATGGCAGTTAAATATTTCAAAATATATTGAAATTCTGAGCAGTGACACCAAATTCAAAGGGACGGGGTGAAAATTAAGCTTCCCCAAAGGACTCTCTTTCATGACTTCTCCATGTATCTGTGAAGTATCAGAAGATCCCAGATTTATTTTCCACATGCAGGCATGGGCTGAAGGCAATATTTATCACTCCCGTCAACCTGATATACGGACGCCACGAACCTTTCCTAGAGTGGGAATAAATCTGACTGATTGCAGGTATTGACTGCCAGTGAACTCACAGCAACTTACACTTGGCAACCCAGTTAAAAAATGGGTAATTACAGCCGTGCATATGTTTGGTGATTTAAAGCACATGGCAACTGAAGCAGAGCTGTCTACTCCTGACAAGTCACTAGCATAACTCTTGGCACGACCAATATTTAAATCGCATAATAGGAGATTCGACTAGAAAGGACTGGTGAGTCATTCTAGGTGCAGCCTCCTTCCATAGTAAAATCTTTGTCTCCAATGTTATCTTGCTGGATTTTTGCCTGAACACATCAAGATTCTTTATTCTCTCCCTTCTAAATCCTGGATTTCTTGTTAACATGTGAATTCTTCCAAGTCTATTTACACCTATTTATTTCCCTACCATAACCTGCAGCAGCGAATACTCCTCTCACTGACTCCTAATAACCTGCATGAACTAAAGATATCTCAGTGTTTATGGATGGCTTCAGTCCTTTCATTGTAACTGGACATTGTTAGATACTTAAAAGCTATTGAGCTTAAAAACACATAGAGAAATCCAGGGGTGATTTTTTCTGGACTCCACTAAGATGCTTCATAATGCACCCTTCAAACTTTAAGGGAAAAAATCCTCACTAGATCCTTTCCTTGTTCTCCGGCCCTTACAGGAAAAAAAAAAAAAAAATTGTTCCTAGAGTGAATATTCCACTCAACAGTGAAATAATTTTTAGATGTTACTGCTAATGAAAGTGCTTTTCATGACTAGTGATGGGGTTGTGCTGCACTTAATCTGACTTTGTGCATGTTCACTTTTCTTTAATTGAGGAAAACTATTGAGAAGAAGAATGATCAGTGCTATTGACTGGTAAACAAAAGCAAGTTACACCTCAGGGCTCAGAAAAAGAAGGGAAACAAAAGCCAGCTATCTAGATAAAAAGGGAACAAATGTTTCGGAGAGAGAACATTCCTATAACCAGCCATTCTAACCTAACTACAGACTGCGAAATGCAGGAGCAGCTATAAATTTAGCTTCGTGTGTAGTCTGAAATAGCAGCTGCCTTTGTATAACATATGTTTGACTGCAATTGTGAGTGATTCACCACTTATTTCACACACTCCATCAGCCAGCACAACTACTGTGGCATTATAGATAGTATCTCATCCTTAAGGATGTTTGTTCTGCGGAGCAATTTAGAGGTATCTCAAGTTTTTCTGTTCCCAATGCCTGCCTTCACTCGTCTTTATATTTTTTGGAATTTTTGCATCTCTCTGCATACAAAAGATGTTTTGCATCTCTCTGCATATTAATAAGTGTCAGAGATTTGTCTACAGTCCAAAGAAAAGAAAATGGGGTGGAGGCAAAGGGGAAGAGTAAATGCTCTAGATTAAGCTATACATTGTGCTTTTACTGACTCCTCTTACTTCCCTTTCACCAGAAAATGCAGCAATGATTCAACTCTCCCAGGGAATATTTTTATTTTGCTGAAACAGAATGGAGCAGTACCGATCCAGAGCTCTGAAGGGTGGATATCAGACTTCTTCCTTCCAAATGAGATTTAAGCCCGCTGCTCTAACCTTTGGATAAACTGAAGCTCTCAGGAAACAAATTACTACAGATAAGTATTATTTTAGCGCTGACATACAAGAACTCCTGGTACAGATAATTTAAAATCTACTCTCAAGGATGTGGGCTGGAAAGAAATACTGCCAGCAGCCCCCAAAAGCTCTGTTAGCATAAATTCAGCAAAGGCATATCTGTTTCAAGGCATAGGTTTGATGAAAGGGGGTACACATATGGTATTTTCCAGGTCATAATCATATTAACTGCATAGATCATCACTGTGAATGTCCAACGGAACAGCAAACTCATGTTGGAAATAAGATTGGCACGGGAATTGCTTTGCAGCAACCCCTGGAACAGATTACCCCTGCTTTATAATTCAAGACAGGGGAAAAAAAAAGTTCTTCCTAATGCAACTAAAACTAGCAGAACATGGTGACTCAGGTTGGAATTTAGCCACAAAATCCTGTTTACAATCCTCAAAAATCACAAAATTTGCCAGGTTTAATGGCTCTGAAGGCTTCAAACCCATTCAGTGCTTCCTCACAACATGGTCCCACATATATCACGCTGGTTTAGCACCAAGTCAGACAGGGGAAGTGGTTTGTAACAGGCTGCCCATAGCTGCAGAATGTGCATTTTTACCATCAGCATGCTCATTTGTGGTCTTCATGCAATTACAGCTCGGGACAGTAGAAATATATTTATCTCACTGTATTTTACAACAGTAACGAAACACTTCTTTATGCTTGTTCACAGCTCAGCTTAATGTAATGACAGACTAGTTACTCTGGGAAACAAGAATATGAGCAATATTGAACTTTGCAGCCCTGTGCTAGGAACTTTTGGAAGCACTAAAATTCTAAATTCAAGACTTGGTTATTGCATTTTTCCTTCTATCTCATTAGAGATAATGGGAATGTTCCAGAAAGTCTCATGCACACGTGGCAATCTGGTTAGGGCAAGACAGCGAAGATACTTTTAAACATCATTAGCTGAGAATGAACCACCTTGAATGTGGCATAAATGGTGTTTAGAGCCAACATGCAGCTAGTGGATTATGATCTTCGTTATAGCGCAGACTGGGCTTGTAGGAAAGACCTTGACCGTTGTCCTCAGCTCTAGTTTCCTGCTGCCTTACCTCTGACAATCCGACACTGAAGTCAAACAAGTGGTTATAATGCTAGCTTAGTGACCGTACCATTTCACAAAGATGTAAAAAAAAAATGGCTCAATGCATTGGGAGAGGAAAAGTGAGCTTCTGGTTTTGTAATGAAAAATACTAAGCATAACCTGATGGGAAAGTTGTCTTTTCAGATGGAATCTATCCTACCCAGAGAGCATCCCATGCACTCCAGGTGCTGCTCAAAAGGAGGCCATGTCCAGGCAGAAGAGGCTCAAACATCTAGAAACCTCAGAAAGTTTCATCAGCATCTTCCAGACAAATAGAACATTGTAAGAGGAAGAAAAGGAGTATTTGTCTTAAATGCCTTTGGAATGTAAAAGTAAAGGTTTAAAAGCATCCAAAGCAAAGTTCTCCAAGCAGCCACAGTCTTCTTGTTTGGTAAGAACACCATTCTTTCTGCTATGGCTTCCTTGGTTGTTCCCCATGCCAGACACATCATTCAAACATGGCTTTCCTGAAAGGAGAACAGAGCAGAGGCTTCCTCACTGCATTCAGAAAAAAACCCGTCAGCTTCAGATGGTGACAGCAATCCTTTGTTGAATCCAAACAGACAGGATCCCTTATTCATTTGCAGTTTGCACTGTCCTTTACAGTTACATTGAGCGTGTGCACGTGGGGAGGCTTCTCTGAGGATCCAAGCAAGCTTCTTGGATGCTCTGCACAGGTGATATGGCAAGACATCAAAAATGTTCCCCCGGGGCTGTCCGCTGTGCTGCAGCTCCATGGCATCTTTCACCGCATCTGATTTCCAGAAAGTCTTCCAAACCTTGATTACTGAACCCTCACATCATCCTTGCAATATCATTTAAAGATCATGCCCATTTTCCAACTGGAAAATATCAGAAGGACAGAAGTTAAGTGATTTTCCTCACAATTGTAGAGCAGGTCAGAGGTGGAGGCAGAGACAGAACCAATCCTTAATTCAGGCGCTAGACAATATTCCTTCCATTTAGAATATGGACATATCCTGAAAGGTCGTATTGGTAAATAAAATACGATTAAAGGAAAATCATCTCCCTGTTAGTGACTCTTAATCCAGATAAGCATGATTCTGAATTAGGCTGTAAGTGTGTTTTAAAGGGAAACACTTAACCTGTGTTATCTCCATGCTGGCAACAGAATAAACAGCCATTCCTACTTGTACCGAATTAGGCGAATAATCTTATTATTCATGAAATCTGAAGTATGTGGGTGAGAAGAATCTATGCAGAAACCATCGCTCATGGCTATTTTTAGCACTTCTTCCACAAACACCTGGAAACTATTGATTTGCTTATTATCTGGCACCACCCAGAGTCTCTTTAAGTTCTGCCTGGTGTACTCCTCTTCGGGAAGACCTTCCACACTTGCAACCCAATCTAAGGTCAAATGGTTGGGGTCCTGCAGGTAGCTGGATATCGAAGACAGGTTTCCATTGAAGCAGTAGTAAAGTTTGGAACCAAGAAGCTTCAGGAACAGACACGACGTGGAGAAGATATGAGCACTGAACACTTCCATGTTGGAGGAAGACAGGCTGTAGATCTGGGGTGCTTCTCGGACGGTGAAGTGAACAGTTTGGGTCTTCTGATCAAGGGTGATGTTGAGCATGGCATTCTTCTCTGCTTTAGAAAGCTCCACTTCCTTCTCCTGCAAGGCCTCAATCAGTGGCTGAATTTGATAAAAATCTACCTCCCGTCGAAGTAAGCCCATTTCTTGAAAGTCTTCAGGGAGGTCCAAGTGAGAAGTTCGTAAGAAGTTCAGGATATAGCGGAAGATTTTGCCATCTCTGTCGATAAAGCAGTTGCCTTGGCTGTCCTTCTTGGTTGGGATCTTCCCACTAAACATGGCCCCCAGCATGGAGTCTGGAAAGCTAGTCAGGGTGGACAGAGAGGTGGTATAAATTTTGCCTCCAACATTGAGTGTGATGGGTTCTGACATGATGGAAAAGTCACAATGTTGGGACTTTTTTAATTCTAAAAGAAAAAATAAAAATCCAACGCCACATATTTAGTTGCATTTACCTGTTTGAAAGGTTAAACTACAGATCCATAAATATATAAGGCTAACTATATGGCAAGAATTCATCATAGAAATTCATCACAGAAATTAGAAGTGGGGAATTACTTTTGGAGGTTGTATCTTGAGAACAAGCATGAGGATGTTTTTCCTCCCAACAGACTTGAACAGGACTTTGTTTAGTTAAGTTTTGTGGTAGAAATCATGAGTCTTCCAAAACTTTACAATCATGCTAAAAGTGAAATCTCTCCCACAGATGCCTACAAACTGGCTTCAAAGCAAGAGTTGTGTCCTGGGCTCACCTGATCCCATCTCCTTTTGAAACACAGAGTTTAGAGGGGGGAAAAAAGGACAGGACAAGAACTGGACACATCCCAACATCTTCCATGGCATCTGAAGATATAATTAAAGCAACAAAGCTGTTGCAGCAGAATCCCCTGACACCCATTTCAGCGCAGTCAGGGGGCCAGCGAGCAGCGCTGCCGTAAGCACACAACAGTCTGCAGTTCCATTCCATAAAAAAACCACCAGGCTTTCTCCTTCCAACGTGCTTTACCTCAGAAAACATTTCCTAATTAATTAGGGCCATATCCCTGTTGACACAGTTTCCATGCAGCTCCTCTCCTCGACTGAGAGAGCTGGGATTGTTCAGCCTGGAGAAGAGAAGGCTCCGGGGAGACCTTCCAGCACCTCCCAGTGCTGAAAGGGGGCTACAGGAGAGATGGGGGGGGGATAGAATGAGGGGGAGTAGTTTTAAGCTGAAAGAGGGGAGATTGAGATGAGATCTGAAGAAGAAATGTTTTCCTGTGCAGGTGATGAGGCAGTGGCCCAGGTTGCCCAGAGAAGCTGTGGATGCCCCATCCCTGGAGGGGTTCAAGGCCAGGCTGGATGAGGCTTTGGGCAACCTGGGCTAGTGGGAGGTGTCCCTGCCCATGGCAGGGGGTGGAACAAGATGATCTTTAAGATCCTTCCAACTCAAACCATTCTATGTTTCTATGGTTCTCTGCAATCAGCTGAGATGAACGGAGGATGCGATTTTATGGTGCAGTTTCACTGCCTCTGGAAGGGACATACCTCCCTTCGCCCTCCACCATACCTTCCTCCTCCCTTATGCCACCTCTGGCACTCATCTGACCCCACAGTGAGACAGTTTAGTGAGAAAAAACCCATCATTTTCTATTCAGGATATGTTTCTGCTACACCTTGGGACCAGAAGAATGCCAGGGCTGGTGCAAGGGAAGAGGAAGGAGTTCTGTACCCCTTTCCGTTGCAGATCAGCTGAGCTGCCTTGAAATGCTGGGGCCTCACTCCTGCTAGCTGAGGACCTGCAAATCTCTTTCTCCTTGTTTGCTGAATCCAAATCAATCACCAGTTCATTCCCAGTTTGTTGACTTAATCAGCAGGAGGCCCGTCAGTGTTTGCTTCCAGGGGTGGGAGGTAGCTCTTGCTGTAGTAACTATGGTCATTCAACAGAAACCTGCCAAACAGCTCCCAAAAATTAAACTTAAGTGCAGACATTTTCCTAAATAATCATAGACACTACAACGCTATTATCAGCTCCAGAGTCACGGCAAAATACAGATAGGAAGAACATCATCTTGTGCTTGAATATCAGTTCTTTTATGGCTGCTAAAACCCAAACAATAGTGTTAGTGGCACCCTAAAACAAATACGCCTCTAGATACAAGCACATTCTGCTACGAAAAACTTGCCCAACCTAGAGCAGCTAATGAACAGCTCAAAGGAGAATCTGTATTTCACTTCTAGTTTAAGACTAAATGTTCTTTAGCCCGCTTTAGCCTTAGCAGTGTGTATCTCACTGCACAGTAATTAATGGAAAGAAGCAGATCTCTAAACCCACCCCGTGCTTTGCCTGTGTATCCTTACTCCAACGTATCCAACAAGACTGGCAAATAAAGATGCATACGTAAAGCAACACAACACGCCGTCTACGGCCATGGTCGAAGACCATCCTCGTGACTAACCTCAGCCAAATATACCCTAGAAAAAACTACCTGTTCCAGTGCTAAAATCCTCTTAGCACTGTAGTCTCATCACACTTCCCACTCTTGAAGACTTCTACCCAATTTAGAGTCAAGAGCTGTTTAAAACAGATCATACAGAGGCTTCAACTGCTCCAATTCTGTACAATGAGTGGATGCCATGCGTTTTTGCCTCTAAGGGCTTGTAATAGTCTGTAAAAGCATTGCTACAAGCACAATTCGACATTCACAAAACCAGCCTACAATGGATTTTACCTTTTTTTCAAGTTTCATCAAATCAAGTGTTCCCTACATCCCCCTGCAAATAATGCAGCCTGTAGCAGCAGGACTGACAGTGACCCAAAGGCCACGTTTGTTGCTTCCCATCTCTGCTACCCCTCGGGTTGCTTTAGAGTACATAACCCAAATTTTTCTGTTCTTTCTTCATTGGTTATGTCTTCAGATTTTTGAGCTTTCAAACTCGATATCCACCCTAGGTTTATTCTGATCCAAAGACTCACTGGCGATAGACTTGGAACGAGAGGCAGACACCTCGGTCCAACCTGAACAAATAACGTTAAAATAACTTGTAACTGGTTTCTTTCATCAGCAGTCTCAAAAGAGAGGCTGCCAACAAAATATGTCAGGAACATGAGATTTTTGGATCTCCCCACTGCCCCCACACTGGTTTAAATTTCAAACATTTAATGATGCAACATCTGGCCCATGGACAAGGCAGCAGGATAACTGTTGCACAGCTGCCGTTCATCAAGTAGAATCAACATATGACAAGTTAATCATCTCTGCTTGCCTAATCCATCCCTTTACTTGCAGGTTTATATCTTTGTAGTGTGAAGATGAATCCGATAGTCTGGCAACCTCAGAAGACCCAAAACTGCAGCACAAACGAGCGCACATACATCTACTGGAATCATCATCACCCTGGACCTAATGCATTGACCAACCAACGTACTTGACAGTAGCTGGGGAAAGAAAGTCAATCTTTGCTGCTTTTTTATTATAAACTTGTTTATGAAAAAAGCTTTTTGTAAACTCACAAAAATTAAAATTAAACGGGTTGTCAGTTTTCTCTCTTTGCTCATCCAACAAGCATTTGCAGTCCCTACCCTGGTTTATCAGGTACTTTTCTAGTGCAATATAAAGGATATTAAGAATACAGCATGGAAATCACTTCTGCTTGGTGGCATTTGTGCAAAGAGGAGGCACTTGGAGATCTTGGACATGGGTGGCTATAACCTGCGGTCACCAAGGACAGTACAAATCGGGTTATAGTTCTTGGAAGCAGAGAATTACAGTAAAGCCTTTCCTGTAGCTGCTCCCCAAGTAGCACTTAAAATTCATTCAGATTAGAGAAGCTACAGATCTAATTTGAGAGCTGAAGATGCTAATTTGGCCAAAAAGCACAGGATTTATTGTGTGCTTTTAGAGTGACTTGCATTTAAATACATCTTTCTTTTTAAAACATAAATATTTAATATTATGGGGAAAAAAATCTATGGTTGATTTAAAGTCATGGTCTTTTCAGGTGATGCAAACCGAGAGAAACAAGCAGTGGTCAACTTTTTGGAAAAGTCAAACTACTGAACAGAAGCTGCCCTCGGAGGGTCTGAGCATTTCAACAGACCAGGGTTTGTAAATTTAAACTTGGGTTTTACTTACAGCATCCTCAGAGGATGCAAAAAGAACATTTCTCTAATAACCTTCTACCCCAGGATTTTAGCTCAGCAAATAATTGGTTCAAACCTGGGAGAGTGATGGGGGTTGAGGCAGCAGGAAGGCATGAAAGAATGGGTGAAATGACAAAATCTACCTATTTCCACTTAGCGACAGCTTCATGTATTTAGAACCATCAGCTCAGTTCCTTCCTTACCCATAACACTTCCTTTGTTCAATAATTTTAAATGTAGAACAGCTTTGGATAAGCTTATTTTCCCTCTTTTGTTTTCATCACATTTGAGAGCGCTTTAATTAGCTAATAAATAAAATTCTGTATACCTAATTTAACTGAGTGCCTGTTTCGCCCAACTTGGCAAAAACCCACAAGTGTACAAGTAATACTGGGGAAAAAAAAAGCATCAGTCACGATTTGGCAACTAAAATGTAAAGAAATGGCACAAATATTACTACGTATTTAACCAGTCTGAAAAATGGGTACAGCTGTAGTTTATACTTTTTGGCTAAAATATGTGGTTTGATGGAAAGCCTAAAGTTATAAATGTGTTTATATGGTTTTCAAAGAGACACGGATCTTTTCTTAAGATAGCTAGAGACATATATATATATATATACACACACCTGCGTGTGTATATATATATATATATAAAAAGCCAATTTTTAACGGTATTTTTCTGGTTACTTATTCAGATAAAAAATGATAACTTAGATCATTCCAGTTAAAAATAATCTACCCTGTATCAGCAAATTTATGGAACACCAAATTGATACGGTATGCCTGGTTCTGTTTAACAGTCTCTTTGAAGATTTGAAGAAAACTCTCTCTGCATTAACAAAATAAAGCTAATAGTGGTTTAGCTGAAGCTATAAATCCCAGCAGGGCAGAGGAAAGATACTAAATGGATCAGAAAAAAACCCAAGATTTTTTTTTATTTGAAAAAATGTGTAGCAATGCTTTGATTTCCCAGCCAAGTAAACCCAAATACAAGTATTTATTTGGAAAAATGTTCCTTGGGAAATGCTACAGTAATCGATTGGAAACACAGATTTCACTTTACAAATGGCAGGGAAGGAAAATTAATCAATTTGGGATTTCAGAGGCAACACCTAAGACAAGGTTAACAGGCTGACCCTAGTGTCGTTCAGAGGATCTCATTAATGAAATTAATTAAAGACAGAGCAGCAAAGGAAGAGCAATCTGTAACTTGGCAGGAGTGGATCACGATGAGTTGTTAAAACAGGGTT